CTGATGAAATCATTGATAATATGTAAATTATAAATTGTAAAATTACAATTTATAAATAAATTTTGTTATTTTGTTTTATTTGTTAATTTGTCATGTATTACAAAAAAAAAATAAACAAATATTTCGCCAAGTTACGAAAGTTTCGGGAGTTTGGGCAAGTTTCGCTTAGTTTTGGAAATTTCGCCAGTTATAGATTTTGCACTGATGGCGAAACAAGTTTTGCCAGGTTTCAGAAGTTTCGCCAAAAGTTTAGTTTCGGTTTCGCCCGAAATACTATAAGGAGCACATGAATTCATGAATTTTATACCTTTCATCATTTAAAATACATCGGCTGCAGCTAAGGCTTATGTCACTACTTCAAAAATATACAATAAACCTTTAACAATCATTTACCATACAAGATCTTGTGGACGAGATATGTGTATTCTTAACATGGTCATCACTTTTTTATTTTTATTTTGCAGAAATTAATTAAATTAAATTCTATATTAATTTATTCTCGCTTAATTCTAGGTAAAGCAACATAGAAATGTCGAGTAAAAGTTGTATAGTTTTATGGCATTACCAAAGAGGGTACGTTACAGAAAACAAAAGGATACGAATGGCACGGTCCCTCTCGATGATTTGCTCCGCCTTTCGCTTACTAGTTTAACTGAGTTTCCTCTTATTTTAGATCGAGGTTATAATAATATATGCTGCTACTTGAATACGTTGATGTAGGAACTTTCTGTAGTTTCTTGAAGAAATTGTTCAAATGGGACATCAAGTTGAAGTTGGCAAAATAACTAGTGATGCAATTTATTGCTTACTTGAAAATGACATTGCTCATAAGGATTTGGTAATTTTTATTTCGAGTGTACTTTTGTAATTTTCATCTAACTCCTTTTAACATGATTCGATTTCCTTTTAAATTTTCGCATTTAAAAATGCTGTGAATGTTCTTATTCAAAATGAAGCATCAAAGTGATGAATCCAGTATAATGACTTATTTATCTTCGCCAAATCGCATGCAATTTGTAGATAATAGCAACTATTTGGCAGTCAGGTCGTGTTCAACCTTGGTGAAAAAACAATTTAAAAAAAATCTCTAGAAAAATTATTATGTAAACTCAGAAACAATTACAGAAATCAAATATTCCTTAGAAAATCTAAACAAGAATATAAATGAATTAATATTACAAAATTACAGTTGAAATATTTTTATAAATTTTACCTTTCGCATAATACCACCATTACTTCTGATTGGCTACATGAAATCATGTCAAAGTATTTATTGGACATAATGTTGAATCATATGCATCAAGGTTACTTTACGAACCTACTTGGATTTTTTTATGAACATGGGATCGGCTGTGATGAGATAGATCAAATAAAAGCATTTGAATTTTATTTAAAAAGATCTGAGTATAATGAATATCAAGAAAATATTTTTTCAGAAACTAATTTATGTTTATGTCTTTCTTTGATTAAAAGATATACTTGTATCCATTGGACAATATATCTTGGGATTATTTTATTACAAAGGAATCAATGATCAGGATTTTGAGAAGGCATTTGATTGGATCTCAAAATCCTCGGATAATGGAAATCTTGTAGCTTAGTGTATGCGTGGGCATTTATATGAACATGATATTGGAAAATATAAAAGTGAAAAGCATGCATGTGAATGGTATATGAAATCAGCAGAAGGTGGAGATGCGTACGGACATATAATGTGAGATTATTCTATGATAAAGGTTCGTTCATAGTTACTCAAAATAAATACGAAGCGTTTAGATGGTACTTATAAGCAACCGAAGGGGAGATTCCACCGGTAAATATAATCTCAGATTATGCTATGATGAAGGAATAGGCACTTTTAAAGATAAAATTAAGGCCTTTGAATGGTATATGAAATCCGCCGAACGAGGAAATGCTTGAAGAAAATGTAAGGTTGATTTTTAAAATCAGCAGAAAAAGGAATATCTATGGCACAATTTGTTGGTCTTTGTTATATATATGGAATTGGAACAAAGAAACACATTTTTGAATCGATCACAAGGTTTCAAAAGGCCAACGAAAACAAAGATAATGATGGTTAAGGTTGGAAATTAACATATTTGTAAAAAAAAAAAAAAAAGTAAAAATTTTGTATATATAATTTATTACGATAAAATATAATTTATAAAGAAAAATTATAATAAAACTTTATTTTAATCTTTTAATCTTGCTAATTATAAATTTTTCCACAATCTTCTTTTTTATATTTATAAGTCCTGCGAATTTTACCTGATTGTACTATTTACTAACCCTACCCTTATAATGAACCTTCAGACAATAATATCTGCGCCTCAAAACTTTTTGCTGTATCAGAATCTGCTTTTGATGCATCTTTACCTGTATGTACTGCACGATCCTAGCAATAGGACAATTCAATGACTTAAATTTGTTTATGTTAACCTCATCAACATCGAACTTCAGGGTAAGATATGTACAGCATCTGAAAATTCTTTATTTTCTATAGATGATATGTTTGACGCACTAATAAATTGTGTAGAAAATGCTTACTAATCTACTCGATTCACCATCACGTAACCGCAGCAAATTATTCCTGAAGTTACATTATTCCTCTGAATCTTCAGATTGTCTTTGAACGATGTCAAATTGATAAAGCTTCCAAAATTAGCTGTATCCTACAATACCATCATTTGATAATGGTTCGTGTAAAAGGTTACATACATCAGAATATCCATCACTGACAGAAGTTGTCTGAAATTACCAATTAAAATAATAGATTGACTACCAAATGGTTGGTCTTTTTTTTTGTTCTGAAAAGGCCACATGTAATCGTATGTCAATTAAAAAAAGCATTCAGCATCCAACTATGCTTTGTTCATCGATTATAAAATAAATGACATCATGTAACTTTTTTTGTAAATTTATAGTTGTTCACTACCAATATAAAGTTAAAGCAAGATATAGGAATGAAATGGGTTGAATTAATTGTTATTCCATAAATGTTGAACACTGCAATTCCAGTTAGTGCAACCTTGATTAAAAGTGAGCTTTTGATATATTATTTTTTGTTAATTTTTGAAGTTGTTTATCAATAATGTTAATTAAATATGACTTTCCAGATCCACAGTACCATAATAATAATTCTGAGTGACTCAAATTGATTACAACCTATAATAGTATCATCATCTGTTTCTTGTTCAATGTATGATAGTCTGCAATACATCATTAACTAAATCCTTAGGAATTAATAGCATCCATGCTGCTGGGTCAATAAGGTCGAAATTAGGATAAAATTGTCTAATATGACCATTCCAATTATGGGTTTGATCAATTTTCACCATTGAAGCAATTAAAGATCATAAATTGAAAGAGAGTTAGCTAGTCTACACACAAGATATTTTAAAAAAAATGAAATCATCAAGCAATCAACATCTGATTGAAAATAAAAAATTTTTAGTATGAAGTGTTAAAAAATTAACCAATAAACAAAATGTAAATAGTCAATTTTAACAATAAAAAAGCTTACAAGAAAGACTTATACAAACAATGGTCTATTATCTTCATCAGCACTTAAATTACACTGTTCTTGATCTGTAAAAAGTGGACTCGCTGAGTGTTATTACTCAGATTATCAAAAGGTTGCAGCTGGTACACTAGAATATCTACTTTTTTTAAATGAACCACAGGAGCTTTAGAGTAAATAAAAATATTTTCATAATCTAGTATTTACTGTCTTCTACAATAAATTCATTTCTGTTAATGTATTTAATGTTATCTTACCAAAGTCTTTCAAACAGAATAAGAAATTGATTTATCAGCAAATTTCTAATAACATGAATTCCTAATAATTTATTTAGTAGATCAGACTATATATAGTATGTATGATGTCACACATTATGTATTTTTGATTTTATTATAATACTCTAAATTTTAAATTCTTATCCTTTACCCAATAATTTCAACTTTTATCCTTTCTGGACTAAAAATGTTTAACTAATTAATATCTGATTAAAATGTTTGTTAATTGGAACTCATTCTCATCTCATAAAAATTTCAACTTCTTATTCTTTAACCTTCTGTTATATATTTTATTTATCCCAGTGTATATTTTTTATTTAATTTGTAAGATATTTATTTATCATTAAACCTGTTAAATTAATATAATTTATTTATTAATATCCTAAAATTAGAGGTTAGAACTGTTTGGTTAACATGTTGACCGGTTAAAGATTTTTTTTAACCAGTTAAAATAGATAAATTTAACTTCTGTTGAAATAAACTTATTTTATGCATACTACTTTGAGCAGGTCTCTGTCAAATGGACTTTTATAACTAATGCCTTCAAAAAATGAATGGCTATAAACAAGAACTAGCTATTAAAAAGAAAGAAGCAAATAAAGCAGATTTAGTCAAAAAAGAAAGATATCTCACTTTCAAGAAATAAGAACTGGCCAATAAAAAGAGAGAAGTAAAAATATGAGCTTTAGAATTATGAGAACTAGCTATTAAAGAGAAAAAATTTAAAATTCGAGTCTCAGTAGTATTAAACATAGAGAATAAGAAAGAGAAGGAATTGGGCTTGTAATATTTTTTTTAAAAGACACATGCATTAAAATCATCTAAATTATTCTAAAAAAAAATATAAGTATGTTGTAAAATTTATATGCTAAAGTAGATTGAGAATGTCATTATTTTAAAAAAAAGATTTGAATACAAAAAAGTCAATAGCAAAAAGAAAACCAGTTTTTTATGTCTTAAATTAAATAACTTTGAAGGAAATAATCAAATAAATAATTTTATACATAAAATTGTTTACCATACTTTTATCTTTCGATGGAATTGGCTATATACAAATTTTTATTATGCAATATTTTTAGTTTAAGATGTAAAATGAGATTATTTAAAAATATGTGTGATACATTTTTGGTAATAATAATCTGAAGCATAAAGCTTTTGTTTTATTGACTTAAAAATTTAAATGAAGTTAAATTTAACGAAACACGTTAAATATAAAAATAAATTTTAAGTATATATAAATACAGTATCAGAAAGTCAAAAGACTTTTTATATAGAAATTTTCCTTAAAGATCTAAAGTTCGTAAAAAAAAGATCCTACACAATTTAAATTTAACAAAGAAGCACATCAGATTTACCTCCACTTGATTTTGCATAATAAATAAATTTGTTAATATCTTATATATTCGTAGGTTTCTTAAATAAATTAAATTTTATTCTATATTTATATTATCAATAAATCAATTTTTTTTAAAAAAAATGTATAATCCAAATACGATATATCACAAGATATTTTGTACAAGTAAATGTATAAACACTAAAGATGGCATTGCAATATTGTGACACTTATTTGTTACCTGTTGCAACTTAAATTTTAATAATGTTGCAATTTGTTGCAATATTGTGATGCTTATTTATTACCTATTGCAACTAATTGAGGCACTATCTTTAATAAACACAATCATTAAGAGACATCCATTGTATTTGTTTCTTATAAGGTAATCATATTGATAATAAGAACTCATACAGGTGTTTCTGCAAGAAAATGTAGTAAAAACTCTGAAAATTATAATATGTACCTAAGTTTGAATTACTTGTGAAGTCTAATAGTAAGATAAGAGAATATAATCATTGCAATTAATTTTTCATTTTCTTTTTTTCCTTCTACTGTGAGCAAATTTTTAAAACAGAAATTAAAAAAAATTATCATTGAATGTGAAAATCTACTATATTGAGAATAAATTCTTTGCAAATAATCCACCAAAAGAAACAAGAATCATACTTTTGATTATATTTTATATTTCTATAAACTATGAATATTTAATGAATTATGCATTTTAATAAAATTATAATACTAAAGAAAAAATCAGATAGATAAATTTTATATGATTTTGATGAAATTGTTGAAGTATTAAGATTAATCTAGTAACAAAAAGTTCAATTTTGATAATTTTTTATATATTATTAAATGTGTTATGATGGGTAAAATTTTAAATAGATTTAATTAGTAGAATATGAAGTCCATTTTATTGCCATGTAGATCTTTTATGAAGATCAATTTATCCATTTTATTTTCATCGATCAATTATGCAAATCATTAGATATCAATTTTATTGCCTTTGATAATCACGTAAATCATAGATGTCCATTTAGTTACCTGCAAATCTGGCAATTTTATTGACATAGCAACTTTATTGTTTAGTGAAATGGCAACTTTATTTTCTTCAATATATTTAATTTAGTTTATTTTATTTATTCAACATGTATAAATATCTCTGTATTTTCTTTGAGTCTCAGCACTGACGAGATGTTAATCTTTTAGGTACTGAACTTATATATTATATTAATAAAAGAATATAATTAACTAAGTATAAAACTTATCCTTCGCAAACCCTTTGAAACTATTATAAAATATCTGTAACCTTTTGCATTTGTGCAATCCCTTTAATTATTATTAGTGAACTTATTATATAATATTATATTGATTCGCTGTATTGACTTGAAGTCTCTAAAGCGTAATCTCTGAAATATCTTTGAGTTATTTTTGTGTTTATTTTGTATTTATTTTATATAATTTATATTGAGAATAATCCTTTGACATTATTGTGAATTCTCACTTGTGATTCCTTAAGTAATTGTCTTAGTTTTATTTACCCCTTTTGAGATTTTATTTTGAAGTTACGAAACTATCATAACAGTGTATTCA